ATAGATAGATAGATAGATAGATAGATAGATAGATAGATAGATAGATAGATAGATAGATAGATAGATAGATAGATAGATAGATAGATAGGCAGAAAGGGTGGGTACAGAAAGAGATTGAGAGAGAGAGAGAGAGAGAGAGAGTGAGGAAAAGTGAGAGAGAAAGATACACGGGAGAGGTACACGAGAGGTGAAAGAGGATGTGTCCAGGTATAACAACTGAACAGTAAATAATTGGCTGGGCTGTATTTTGAACGAATCGCAGGTGAGACTGTGGGAATTACTGCTCAAGAATGACGCGTGTCTTTCACGGAGGCAAATCAGATAAAACAGAAGCACTGCAAAACAGCAGAAGCATGGCCGAGCTATTTAATCATAATTTTGTTGTACGCCAACATCGACCCTGTTAAGAACACGTAGAAGAAGCCGGACTCTCCACAACTTTGTCTGTCTGGGCTAACGCGAGCTATATAATATTATACATTCCAGCTGAAGTACAGATGTACTTAATAAAGAAAATATTATTTCCCCGCCTCAAAATCGAACTTTTTTTTCTTTCTTTTTTTGTGTGTGCTCGTATGGCGAAGAGCCTAAGTGGGTGGTTGGCGGGTGCTCTGGTGTGGTTTGCTCGTTCTTTCCTATCAAACATCTGTCGTCCTGATCTCTCCTTCTTCAGTTTTGTGTTTGTTACTCTCTTGTAACATTTATAATCTTCGGCACTTATATGACCTTATGGTGTTGCAAGTGCGGTAAAACTCTTACTAAAAAAGAAAAGCCTAAAAATGTGACTACAAATGTTGATGCGTTTGAGAATGTAATTAGTAGACTCCAGTGAGGGTTGATGTGGATGGTATCGGTTCAAAAGAGCCTGTTGTTAGATCAGAGGGTGTCAAGCTGTATTGAGATGCTGGAGACCAAAGTTCATTTCCCGAAAAAATTTGTTATTTTGTTGTTGTTGCTTGTTTGTTTGTTTGTTGTTGTTATTGTTGTTGTTGTTGCTTGTTTGCCTGTTTGTTTGTTTGTTTGATTTTGTTGTTGTTGGGGGTTTTTTTCACTTGCGGTATTTGAAGCGTATGCGTGTGTCCCGTCAGGACAATGATGATATCTTAGATCTTAATCAGGTTTCAACCCAGTATTTCTAAGAAGCATTTCGGCGGTTTTTGGCAATCTGCAGAGCTATATTGATGACCCAAGAACTATTTTACTTTCAGCACGAAGTTCCAATAGTGGATAGTCGATGAGTGCTCTGGTGTGGTTTGCTCCTTCTTTTCTGCCAAACACCCATCCTCCTTATCTCTCCAGTAACACTTCGCAACTTCGGCACTATTTTGGCCTAATTGTATTGCAAGTGCCATAATAACTCTTACAAAAACATTAGATGAAAAGGACTGATTGTTTTGTTTTGATTTGGGGTTTTTAGGGGGAAGTCTGTTGGGGGTTTTATTTAAGG